GATTCAGAATGCTTTCATTTAATACATAGGGATTCCATTTCAGATTCTATACCAAACTGCAAAGATAGGATGATGTTGACAAATTAAGGAAATTAGTGAAAGTCTACTGGTGAGATTACACAAGTCTTAAAGGAGATACATTATAGTTGCTCTAGGAAAACAGAGAGGCAATAAGAGGCCTCCATACCCTGGGCCTCCCTTTACCCGTAAGGCAACGTGGACTTTGCTAGCTGGCATATGACTTTAGTATGTCCAGAAGCAATAGGGATATCTCCCACTCTCCCTCAGGTTTGGTTTGTGAAAGAGGAGACTTGTTCTTCCTTGATTTCAACTGATCCACACAACATCTGGTCTAGCTTCATGACCTGACGTCCTGTTCAGCTACATCACACAAAGCAGTCATGAGCTGCTAGCACACAGTTCCTGCCTACTAAGCCTGGCATCCCTCACTTTTATGGCTGAAGAGGATGACTTTGAGAGGGTTGGGTTTTTTTTCCACTACTGTCACTTCTTTGATACCATTTCCATGCTTGCTTCATCACTGCATGAGCTTTTAGGCCAGTGGAAGGGACCTTAGAGAAGGAGAGGGGATGTTTAAGGGTCCTATAACATTGGGGCTGCTGTAAACAAGAAAAAGAAACAAGCCTCTGCTCTGTGTCTAATGCAAACCTCTCCATCTCAACCTCCATATAATTTCTAACACCTAAAAACACAGCATTCTGGCTTTCTTTCAACATCCTGAGACGTACTTGCAAGCCACACAAAAGCAAACGTCTTCTTACCTTCAGATTTGTAAAACCTGGGACCAGTTAAATCCTCACTAAATTCGGAAGGACAATGTTTTAAACATTGTTGAAGTGTATTAAGCATCTATATCTAATTGTTTCTGCACGTAACCGATGAGAACACTTTGTAATTAGGTCATTACCACACATGGCGCAGTAGCCTGAAGACAGAGTGCATTTTAAAAAGTAGCAGAGTTGTTATTACCGTTATCAGCTTTTAAACCTTACCAAGTTAACGTGCCTCACAAAACTGCAGAGACAATTTCCAAGAACATCTAACCCACATTTCGTACAATGGGTCAACCGAGGACTGGAAATCAAACTAAATTAAGATAAGGTAGGTTACATATTGAAGAATAAGATTGTGATCATACGGTTTTTCAGTAAAACTTTCTATAGTTTCATTAAAACGTGTATTAGATTCACAGAGTTACTGTGCCAAGATATTACCAAACTTCTCACAGTAACTGGTAGCAAATTAACACCTAATCCTTAGAAGAAACACACCCAATGAATAGGCCACTATGTAATAAAATAATTTCTTTCAGCCTCCCATAATGCCAGAGGCAGTTACCTTCAGTTAACTCTTAAATTCCAGTCAGATTCCCATTGTACTTCAAGATAGGTCCGTGCATCAGGACCACTGAATCAAGCAACAGAAATATGCCAGAAAGAGTAACCTATTTTCACTGAAATGCCAAGTAAAAATAGTTGTGTTATTGTGACAACTCCCTCTTTCTCCCCCCAAAAAGATTTTCTGCAGGTCTCCAGTGCATTTCTAACAACTCATTTATCTAGTTACCATATCCAGTGAAGAAATTAACCAGTTATTCTGAAATATCCCTCCACTGTCCAAAACTGCAAAAGTAAAAAGATGGATTAAAAATCCTATCATTCCCAACCTGAGACAACCAACCAGTTACATATATCTTACCCTCTGCTTTTGGCAGTATTTCAGCTCCACAGACAATACAATAAAGTCCTTTCTTGCAAGGCTGGTGGTGTCTTTCCTTCCAACAAGACAATATACAAATTCACGTAAACAGTAGTTTGCATATAGCAACTATGCAGATTGAAGCATTTAAATATAAACACAAAGAAAGATCTCAAAACTGCTTCAGAGAAACATACTACTTGAAATACTCAAATTATTTGAATCAATGTTTATAATTTATATTAGCTAATAATTAAAATATGCATAATGCTAAAAAATGCTTAACCTAACTTAGGCAGAAATACTTTTACACAAAATATGAGGTATTTTAGAGTCTATAATGCTCCAGGCTATCAAAGACTTTGGAATTTTGCAAAGGAGCCTAGGACGATAGATGCCCAATTCTTACTGAGTTTCAGTGCGATTATGTTCTTACTCTTTGCAAACCCTACCCTAAAATTTACATATAACCAGAAATCGAAGCACTGGCTATTTTGAAAGAGGAACTACACCTGTAACGAGTTATGAGCTGGACTGTAGGCAGCCCCTATCTGCAGCTTCTACCTGTGTTATCAGCACTTGGAAATTCTCAGCCGTTTTGTTTCCCCATGAGAAACAAAGGTATCTATCACTAAGTAAAACAAAAGGATTTAGAGCAAACCATGCAGACCACGAATAAACTATTTCACCTGTATTATTTCGCTTAAAAGATTATATAATAAATCATTATTTCCCTTGCGCCTTAACATTCAGCAGCAGCCACTTAAAACAGGTACTTTATCTACATGGTACCTTTCTTTCACCGGCGTAGGCACTTTGCCTAACCGTAGCTCTTCTTCGTCTGCATTGCCTCTGAACTTTCAGCCCTTTAATAAATTCAAGATTTTATGATTATTTTAGACAGAAGAGAACATGCCTGCCTATTATATCAAAGTATATTGAGGACTTTTCAAATAATTTAGCTTTTACAGATATGGGAATTCCAAACAAATAATTCTAGGAAAGTTGGTACATTGACTTCCCTTCCATTTGCAGGCTGGGCAGCAGGGTATTGAATTTAATATCGGAAATCACCACAAATATATTAAGTATAGACATAAAGAACATTCTTGCCTGTAACATATTAAACACCACAGTTAGTTAGATATAAAGACAAATTCAGATTGAATTTACATAGCTTTTACACCAAAAGAAACTGTCCACCTCACGCCCCAAAAACCAGCAGTGATACAGTGGATTATTATCCATCAGTTGTCCGAAGCAGCACAGCTATGGACAGGATTTAAGTTAGTGAATTTCTGGATAGAGACTTTACAAGAAAAATCTAGTATCTAGTAGGCCAAAAGCTGATATTTTCAATACAGATTTAAAAAAAAAAAATGATTAAGGAGTGATTTTATATAAAATGTAGATGATGTAAATTAATGCAAAATATTTGATACGAAAAAGGCCATGTCTTAAAGGATTTCTAATCGAAGTAAGATGCAACACAAGATCAGGAAAGGAACAATCTGCTCCAGATAAGGAAAGGAAGATGGATTTTGTTTTTTGCAACATTATGGATTTAAAGACAGACAAATCTTCCGCAAGACAAATATGGGATAGTGGTCTATGAGATAAGCAGACAAGCCACAAAGCTGAAGTGATTTCTATTATCTACTCAGAGATACATAACCACAAGCAGTGCTTTGGTACAGAAGACTTGTTTTAAGACAACTGAGCTGTTAGAGCCTCATGAGGATCAGCTGCAAAGCCACCTGCCAGGGGCTGCCTCAGCACTTGCAGTGGGACATGGGACAGTTCTAGTCTACCAGCCAGTTACAAACAGAACCATGCCTACCCTACTAAGTCCTGACATTCAATCAATCACTTAAATCTAAATAAAGTACTTTTATCCTTAGATGTGTCATATGTTTAAATTGCTGTCAATATTAGTGCTTGCTTCTGCCCTATCTACTAGTTCAAAACCATCAGCATCCAATGAATAAGCAAATACCCAGAAACCTAAACCAAGAAAACATGATGCTTAGGTGGCATCAACACAACAAAAAGTTTAACCAAATGCCTTATCCTAAGAACTGCAAGATAATGCTTGTTAAAGAAATTTAACAGTATTCTTGTCATTCTTGCAGAGTATCTAATTTTACAAAGAAGTATTTCTCATGTAAATAAAGGATACACTTTAAATCCTATTCATATGAACACGTTCAGAGCTCTGCAAAGGTGGACGTCAGAATGTTATTTAGATTAACTTCTATGGAAAACGACCCGTTAACCATTTCATCTCTGCTCTCAGTCAAAATATATAAATACCTATGAACCAATCTTAAGATTGTAAAAATCCCACATCTTCATATTAACATATGATGGAAATCAACAATCTTTCCTTGAAAAATCAGGCACTACGTTTTATTACAGCAAAATCCTGGCTGTTTTGATTGCAATAAATGAAAGAAATGTTTAAAATACTTCAAGAAAAGTAGACTGAAGAAGACTTGAAGACCTTTATGTACAAATTTACATTATTATATAAGGCATAGAAAATGTGTTTGTAGGGCATACAAATGAGTACATGTTTCAATACAAATACATACAGAAGCTGACCAAAAGAAATTGGATCCTTCCACAAAAGAAAATTTTAAAGACACCTCAACTTTTAAATAAAACAAATACAGACCTCTGAAGAAGCCTCTCATCATCATCAAATATCAAAATGTTCAAATACTACTACTACACAGCTTACAATAGACATTTTGACAAAAGAGATTTGAGGGAAACAAAGTACTGAAGAATACACCTATTTCAGTATCTAGGCTCAATATCGTATTACTTGATCTGCAAAGATGCTGTTCTACACATTTACTTTAAAAAAAAAAAAAAAGCCCTAACAAATGCAGAAAACCATAACATGATTATACGGGTGTTTTGCTTTCTGAGAAAAACCCAATTGTTTGAGTGCATTTAATGGCAGATTAATTAAATCTGTATTAGACAAACTTCCTCAGCCTATAATTTCAAGTCAAATGCTACTTGGGCTTCTACTTAGAATTTCCACACATGATGTCCTTCCACCACACAGTTAGGATGAAGAATCTTAATTATATCTACAGAAAACTGCATGTTGCATAACTTTCACAGTGGAAAACAAAAACATACAACGGAAAATCGAGTCTGATAGTGGCATATATTAAATGAGAACTAGAAAGCCATCACCGCTCTAGAGTGAGGCTATACTGTGAAGGCTGCTCACTACGTTTCCTATAGAAGCTGTCACTCTGTCACTATGTGCTAGTATCGTTCAACAGAAAAGATGACACACCTTTATTTCGCGATCTGGAAAGACTGATTTTCCGGTTTTTGGTGTCCATCTCTTGAGATGCTATCTGCTCTGCTTCTATTTCACTGCGTATCTCTATGTTATTAACTGCACTATTCTTACTCCCTTCATTCTGCATTATTCCATGTAAACTTGTGCTTCTGCCATCATCATCAATCGTTTTTTTAGTCACACTTAGAGTTTCTGAGGTGTTGATTGCAAAAAAGTCATCAGGGACTGTGGATTTCCCACATTCAATCAGATTCTTATTTGCATTACAGGCTGGAACCAGTGGTCTGATTTCCTGTTCCTCTGATTCTACGTCATCATAGAGTTCTGGTGTGAAGTATATACTCTCATCCTCATCTTCAGCTTCTGCGGATACGTTTAACATTGAAAGTTCAGATTTCCCGCCTGCTTAAGGAACCTCACTGCAGGGCTCAACTTGAAGCTGTAGCTTATCGGGATGCTCTTCAGCAACTGGAACCTCAGTACTTTTAACTGAAAAACCAGTTATTTCCAAACATGATTCTGTTACATTTGGTTCATGTTCTGAAATTAATGATGGCTGGCATTGATTTACACTATCAATAAGTTCACTAGCGCTATTCACATTCTTTTGTTTGCTACTAGCTGTGGACATGCAGTTCCTGGCTACAGGCAAAGGTGTTGAAGTCAGTGGTTTAAAGCAGCAATGTTCTTTCTTAAGATCAGCATTAGTGCAACCATTCATTTTTTCTCTCTCTGTTTTAGTTGCTGGCATTTCAGGTGTGGAGTCCATATGTTTTCTTCTTAGTGTTACATGGTGAGAATGACTCTCTACATCAACTTTCTGGCCACCTGTGAAAAACCACAAAACATTAATTAATTGTATATGCCTTCCCCCTGCTGATTTACAGCATGTGTAGCACATCAAAATTACCACTGTTTATTAGGTTTACAGTCATTTTATAATATTTATTAAGATCCAATACAAACAAAAGCCCAGATGTTACAACTGTCTTCGCACATGAATTGTCTTAATTGTCTGTCTGGCATATGTAAAGGTATAGTAAAATATGACTGGATTTTAAATTTGCGATTTTTTTATTATTGTGCTTTAATGTTGTTTGCATCTTTCTTGCCTGAAATGAAGTTATGAGCTTTCCTAAAATTTAGGAATGGATAGATATGTACTGGTAAAGCTGGTACCAGAAAAGATTATATGAAAGGTGCCTCTCAGTAATGTCTAAACAACAGATGTAGCTTGAATAAAGGCACTCATCTTGCAATACTGCTAAACTTTATGTGTTTCAAAGATATTTTAAATTACCTTCATAGTTTTCAATGGAAAAAGAAATTTAAGTGAAAATATTTTTGATTGTACTATAAACTTATCAAACACTACCAATTGTTCTAAGACAACCAGATGGAGTGACAATTCATTTCAGTCTGTCAAGCACAGCTCGTACACATTTGTGAATAATTATCATTTTGCACGATAGCACTTCTGTAATTTTAAAAACCACTTGTTTCTTTCAAAAAAGATGCAACATGACATTTAAAATTGATAATGAAGTTTTTTCCACAGGAAATGAACATACTTTGTTTCATTGTTGCCGTGATGTCACTTGGCTGACTTGATGCTGTAGGATTAACTGAGCTGATGGTTGTAGTAAAATTAATTTCTGAAACCAAATTTTGCTCCTCACTTTTAGCAGGAACATCTGGTGACAGATGAATAGTTGCCTCCCGCTGAGAGGCCTGTGACAGGTCTTTTGAATTTGAATGTACATGGAGAAATTCACTGCTGCACTCTGACGAACAATCAACGCCCTTCTGGTTTCTTATAGCAAATGCATGCAAGGATTCAAGTGCACTACCAAAACTCTCATGGTGCTGGATTTGTTGACGAATCCATTTAGATAATCCTAAGAAAAAGGAAAAAAAAAAGTGTTACTACAAAACTACATAACCTATACCAGGTATTTCACATCAGTAACTAGTACCCTAATATTGCAAATACTTCTACGTACATATAGAGAGATTCATAAAGATTTCAAGACACTGCCCATGAAAGTAAGGTAACACGTGTCTTCCTTTCCAGGAAGGGAACTTGGTTTAACCAATGGTAGGTATTTTGATGAGTAATACTAACAGTATAATTCTTTTTTATTAGGAGACCTTTACCTTTTTCACTAACACTTTTTTTTTTTTTAAGTTCAAACTGCTGTGTTGCAAAAACATCATCATACTTCTATGCCTGGGTGTTCATTTTGCTTGTTATCATGTAGTATTAAAAAGCAACTTGCATAGAATACAGCTATTTATTATCACACTGGCATGGTCTGACAAAAATTAGAATATAATGAAGCTTTTGCAATTTTATTTCTGATTAAGTAACAGTAACTCAGTTATTCAGAATCACAACTGCCCAATAGCTACAGTATAATACAATATGCTCTTCTGCAGCAATCATTTTTAAAATTCTCAAATACCAGATGTTTTGCGCATAATAGCTGTTTAGATGATGTTGGAACACACAAGAGTGAAGTAAAATCTTTCTTGTCTTTAAAAAAAGTGGGTTTAAATCCATTTAAATATTCTTTTAATATCACTTAAAAAAAAAGAACTTGATTCTTCTGTGAACTTATGTTTTAGAAAAAGTGCTAATCTAATCAAGTCTAGATTACTTGTATTACTGTATGAATTACCTCTGTTTACTTAGATAGTTTATATATATTTTTAGTACAGACATGTCAGAAATGTGGTTTGACTTGTACTGCAGCAGCTGAGCTCCACCTGCTGACTAGACTGCAACATTATCTGTTCACATCGTGTTTTCATAGAATCACAGGATGGTTTGGGTTGGAAGGGACCTTAAACATCATGCAGTTCCAACCCCCCTAGTTCCAAGCTGTGGTTGCCCCCACCAGGCCAGGTTGCTCCAAGCCCCATCCAACCTGGTCTTGATCACTTCAGGGAGGGGGCAGCCACAGCTTCTCTGGACAACCTGTGCCAGTGCCTCACCGCCCTCACAGCAAAGAATTTCTTCCTAATAGCTCATCGAGATCTACCCTTGTTCAGTTTTAAACCATTATAATGTTTTGCCCATCTCTGCTAAACAGCGCAGAACAAAGATACACAATGCATTCCTAAGCAATTGCTTTAATTTTTTTCAAAAAATTATTCCTTTATTAAGGAAGAATGCACGACCTGTTTTATTTTATCTGCATTTTTTTCTAGCCAGTATAACACTACAAACAGAAAATACTTCTCGTGTATTGAGCATTTGTGGTTCCAAACGGCACAATTTTTACCTGTTGTACCTAAAAAGCCAGAATGTTAAATTCAGACTGCTTACCCTAATCATTAAAGCTCCCTATAGGCAGAAACTATACATGCACTAGAGACTTATCCAAAGGCCAAATAAAAATCTATTAATTATTTTTAATACAAACATATACACATGCACACATATGTATACATAATTTATATATATTTATTATGCAAAGATTAAGAGTCCTTAAGTTTTTATAAGTCCCATTTTAAGAAAGAATTCTCAAATTCTGTACACTGAAATTTCTATATCATTAACTTTATATCCAAAAGGGGAAAGAAATTAAATTGAGTGAACATTGGTATCAACGTGTTTCAGTGTATTTAATGAACTATCAATACACCAGGGTCCAGTTTTAGAGGTTTCAGTTTCAACTGCAAAATTTGAGTTCAGCAGATACATTTCATTACAACTTTTCCTACTTACTTGTATTTGTATAACCATATTTCTCTAATCTTGATTTTTCACTATTTGTTAATATTAGGAACTTTCCCAGAAAGATTTTTACAGCTTACCAGTTATGTACTTATTAGGGTTATTCCTGAAGCGGTCATCAACTAAAATAAGAGCACCCCAGTCATTTCTATGTCTTATACACCTATAAGGGAGCAACAAAAAAGAGTGAATATATAATCAGAGTGCATACAGTTAAAAACTGTGGGGATCAGACAAGAGGGATTTGAACGAGTCAGCTAGAATATGCAAGAGTATACAGGAAGTACTTTCCTACTGTCTTGCACCAAAAATTTTAACGGAAGCTTAATTTTCCTTCAGCTTGAATTTACTATATGAAAACAGGTAAATTAAAAAACCCCACACAAAACCCAGCAGCTAATCAAACCACATGTCATTTGCTTTCCACTCTTAACTGGGTAATGTAAATACTGGAAGGAGAACACACAAAGTGTAAAATGAAAGAAAACGGACTCAGGTAACTGCGAGCAGTTTTTTAAGTAACTATGCGCTTTGTTTCTAAACCACATGTTATTCCTGACTCTCTTTAGCAATGAAATGAATAATGCTACAGATCAAGGCTGTGAGTGATACCGTTGAGTTCGTAATTCAGTTGTGAGAGGCCTACAGAAATAATCCAATAGTCACTTTACATGCGTTGATATTATTTTTAACATTATTTGGATTTCTGTACTGCCTGCCAGAAAAAAGTATTCAAGAACAATGCTAACATACATGAAATACAGGAAAGAATGTCAGTAATAGTTTAGGATTATTATCCCCACTGTATAAGAGAAGGACAACTTTTTAAGATGTTTACAAATGTACGTAAAACCACAAGTGTATCGGAGCCAGGGATTAAAAATGGGAGTGACAATGCTGGCTCTCCAAAGAAATATTATTTATTTCTATTTGAAGTCCCTCCACGACAAGAAAAGCTACCAAAACATCTTTAAGAAACAGATTTCTTCCAACTTCTCATTTTTTCATTACTTTAATAAATGTTCTTTTAACTCATAGTTTAAATGAATTATGCCCACTGGAGACATATCCAACACTTCTAGAAAAAGTAGCACTGCAAGGAATTCATAGCATGGCTGTCACCTGGCCGTACACACCATCTGTTGTATTCCCAAAGGCTGCTATTTCATTTCATGGACTTGTGTTACTTCGTATAATGTAACAGCACTAAATTAAGAGAAAACTGCCAGACTGAAGCCTAGCATGCTTCTGCTCACTTCCATCCCTGCAGGCATCTCTGCAGCAAGAAGCTTCCCTATCTACTATATAACTGAGCATTAACTTTGTAGACTGTCTGGTTTTATAAAGACAGTCGTCACACACTGTCCTCCTTCGCCAAGCCTCACTTTAGTAAGACCTTAGTCTAATGGTATTATACACAGTTTATACATTTGTCAGATGGAAGCCTATTTTCTCCATTTAAGTTCAGACTAGTATAATTTCATTCAAATGAGAAATCACACAGTAAGCAGTTTTCACTAAAACTAGATTTAAGTTAAAACATACTTCACAGTGACAAAACTTCAAATTCATTTCTTATCACTAGCATTCCACAACTTTCTTAGATTTTTCTTAACAAATTTTAACTAATGCTCTTACTCTCCAAAGAGGAATCTAAGAAATCAGACCTGTAATAACAAAAATTTTCAATTAAATTTTACTCATGTGGACTATTTTCTCTCAATTTTCTTTCTAAACCTTCATTTATGTCATCATATTTGTATTATGTCTAATTCAAATAACAAGAGTCTTCTAGCTAACGTTTCTCTTCTTACCTATGAATCTGTGTCTGTACCTCTATATATCCATGCCATGTATCTATGGCATCTCTGATAGATACGGGTGACAGACAGCTGTATCTATCCATGTATACTTGTTGGAGAAGGATGAATTAATTCTAACCTGTTAATAAAATTTGGGGGAATTTTTTCATTTGAGAAAGTAAGCTACACCACTTCTTCCAAACCTGGAAAGAGATCAGTGAGCGTGATTGAATTGACCTTTTGCAAAGGTCTAAGAAAACCCCCTGCTATTTCTCCCTTTCAAAAATACTTGTAGGCTAAACATCAAACAACTGTTCAAACCCCACCAAGAGCGTGAACAATTAGTACATTTGAAAAGACCTAAGAATTTTCATTTTGTTTGTAAGTTCAAGAACTATTTGTCTCTGAAAATCCTTTCCTTTCTGCATATCTGGACTACAAGCAATAAAACCTGCAACCAAACCAAAGTGGATTCTGAACATAAACCAAAACAATCGGAATTATAACAATGCTCAAATGCACAACAGACTGAAAAACCAGACAGTTGCCAGTACAGAACAGCTGAAGACCTGATTTCTGCAATATGAGTTTTTTTGGCTTGATTTATGCCCTTTGTGTTAACAGTGAGGAACTAATCCTTAACGATATTGCAAAAAAAAAAAAAAAAAGTTCTACAAATAAGTATATACTTTTAATTATGTTCAGTTTATCTCACCTTCCCAGGGCTTGGTTCAGGGCCCTATAAGCTTGAATTTCATACCACTGACTCCCTGGTAAAAGGCCTCTTGTATTTTTGTGCTGGTCATTGTACTTCCTCTTTAATTCAACCTAAGAAAGAAACCATAACACATTGTTTTCCACAATGATGTTGAAAAGGAAACATTCTAAAAGAGGAAAACAAGCAAACATTGATTAGATAAGTGAACATGTAAAGTGTGCTTCAGTTTCAACTTTGTATTTTGCACACTAACAAATCATGGGTTTTACTCTTCTAAAGTTATTCTTAACATGTGATCTATTTCAAAAATTTATAAGGCATAACAGCCACCACACACTTATCTGGATCTCTGTGCTAGAAAGAGAAGGATAAGTTGTTCACACAGGCAAAAAACCCAGATGCAAGTCAATGGACTAACCAGACCACAGTTTTATTTGCTCATCTGGAAGTAAATGATACAATGGAGATCTTTATCCTTTCCTTTATCACAAACACAGACTCCTAATCTATTGCTGGGCCCAGACCATCCTTTTCTCAAGTGAGGGTTAAGCAAATATAACCCCTTCTTCTACAGAAGCTAAGAAAGTACTTTAGAGACAGAGTGGCCTCACCAAAGTACCAGAAGCCAGCAGCACCAACTCTAATTCCTACCTTGGCACCACCTTCTGCGGTTTGGAAACTAACATTTCACTGGCTAAATGTGAAGCAAAGGTGGCTGCTAAGGTTTGCAGAAGACAGAAAAGAGCAGGCTCCTTTTTCTTAAAAAATGCTCTCTCCTGGCTGCTTCAAAAGCAGATCTGCTATCAACTGCAAAAGAAATCCCCTGTCTCCCCTTTCTAATCATACAGACAACCACAATGCCTGATCTTAATTTGAACAAGAATCTGTATTTGGACATTATACACAGTTCCAATATATCAAAAGAATTTATTATTACTGGGGGGACATACACTGAATTTTTTTTATTTATTTAAACATAAAACTATATCAAAAAGGGTCTTTCCATTGCTCTTTTGTACAGTATTAACCTTTCTAAACTGACAAGTGAAAGGACACGCTTCAGGAGAGAAAACAGCAGACTTCTAACCTCTTCTGACAGGTAACTTTCAAGTTGCATTTGGATAAGAAATTTTATTTTATGTACTTATGCCCTTTAAATTGCCTGTCAAATTCACAAATTTAATCTTTACAGCCAGAAAGTAAATTCAGTTTGATTTCACAGATTTAATATTTGTTCCAGTCACTCAGAATTTATTGACTGGCATGTGAGGTTTCCTTTGTAGTTTTCAAAACAGAAGAGGTTTTCTTCTGAACATTTGATGAACATGAAACCCATTCCATAAAAACAAACTTGGGCGTATCTGTGCGTTTCTACAAATTGAAATACTACCTGGAGACACAAAAGGGTACCCCTTATCGTTTGAAATAAGGTATCATGTTGGAAAATCTCACTGAAATGTTTAAAACATAACCAATGAAAATATGCTCCTCTATATTCTTTGCATTTATCTTTAGTTCTGGTAAGTTTTCTAACAATTTCCTCTTTTAAAGAATTTCCCTTATCAGTAAGATTCTGGCCAGTTGTAACAAACGTAGCTTTACCACAGCTTCTTACTTCGCTAGCAGACTGTTCAAAAAAGTATTAGAATAACAAGTCACATGTTTTACACTGATAAATATGATGACTTTTTAATTATCAGCATAAAACCACTCAAGTACCAGAGGAAGGCAAACCAGTCAGATCATCTACAATGTACTGCACTACCCTGTGAATAAAACACATTACCTTTACATTCTCCTAAAACGTTAGCAGTGTGCAAACGTCAACAATGACAATTCATGTCTCAAATTATACAAAAATCCATATTCTCCTGGTCTAAACATGTAATGTATCTTTAAAACTTATCTGTTCTATCTTAATTACAAAAGGGTTAATAGAAAATTAACATTCTGTTTTCTCACTTAAATGATCATGTCTCAGCATGAGATGACAACTTACATTGCTGCGAGTTCAGTTTTCATTATAAGTCTACTAAAGGTAAAAGGCCAGGGCATGTCATTTTAATGCAATCAGAATCTATTTCATTGTATAACTCTTACGTTATCAAGCATCAAATCAACGCCCAATTCAAAATGACATGTTACATATGTGAAAAAGCCAGTCTCTCCTGCTAGCAAATATCCTAAATGTGCAGTAAACCACAGGCTAGAAGGGATTAGTTAAAATGTCAAAAGACAGCCTTTTACTTTTACCTGTTCATCCTTAAAAATATACTCTTAGCTATCAGGCATGCTTTACAGACAAATAGCTTCAGCAAGCAGCAGCAGAAGGCCCGTGGCAAGCTCTGCCATCTTGTAGCTGTCAGACAGATTAGTCTTTGATCTATCTGGGAGGTCATGGTCGCATTCACATTAACTGAAGTCTAACAACATTATACCTGCTAACCGCTCGTTCTTTTAATGCTTAATTAGTTCGACATCTTTCACTATGGAATATTAACTGAGAAATATCAACAAAAAATAAATGTCACGAACAAATTTTTCTTTTTATGACTTGGAAAAATACCTTGAAAAATATATTTGAAACTGCCTCAATCAGAATTAGCAATACAAGTTTTTCTTCAATGACAACAACAACATTAAACAATGTTCATTATATTAGATTTTAAGTGTTTGATAAATCACAAAAAAAGTTACTAGTGGTAACATTGCTTCATATGAAGAAACCCAGACTTGTTCAGGATTCAAGTGATATATAAGTACATAAAGTGGATTTATACTGCATTTACCATGGACTATATCAGTCAGTTTATGACACAAAGCTAGAAGACTAGCTCAAAAAACTAGAGCTTATTTTTTGAAGCCTAAAATAACCTGAGAGTTCACATACAGAAACCTTATTTGCAGCATGCCAGGCTGAACAAGATTTATTCAAAATTAACGAAAATAAGGCTATATTTAAGACCAAGGTATATAAATAGCAATCTATTATAAGCTAATTGTTTCAACAGAAAAATCAATGATTGGACAATAAAATTAAAGCACCATTTTCTCCCTTAAATTGAGTTCTTTCTGTAAATAAAGTTCTGTAAAAAGCTTTGCCTTGTTTTGCAGTCATAATTACAACTGAGATAAGGAAATCTGAAACACAACTTCAGTATATTTTAGATATCTTCAGCTAAATGTCTGCACAGCATCCTACATGCTAATTTACCTGTGAAGAAGCTTTAAGGAGAAAGCATTTAACCTACAAAGAATAAAAAAGAATATGCTACACTATTAACGACTTTTTCAAAATTTTACTTCAGTGAAAACAAGCAAATGGTCCAGCAGACGCTCGTTCAGGATCATTTTATCTCAGCCAAAGAACAAGCTAACAGCAAAGCCTAGCAGGACTAGAGAACGTGCATTTGGGGCATTTACCATTCATAATCAGAATACTACAAACCTTATCAGCATCAGTATCACAATATGAAAGTTGAATGGGCTGAACTACAACATGCAATTTTTTTTTTTATTTTATGAGATTTGAATCAGCAAAATAAACTGTGTTTGGTTTTACTTCATCTGGTAAAGTTTCGAGATTTTTCTAGATGCATTACTTTATGTAACCAAGGATAGTGCTATACCTTGCTTTCTAAAAACAAATCCGAAGCTGTTACTAGTAGTTAACAAGCCAGGCCTGTTCTTTGACAAGGCATCACTTCACAAACATCTTCAATTGTCTCCTGTTTTCTCTGGTAGATTAAAAATGACCTCCAGTTTGTAACCTGTGGGATTACAAACCAGATGACCCAGAAGTCTAAAGACAAGACAGAAATTCATGAATACAAGGGCACTATTGTGAGCAGTTAAACAGAGCACTCAACTAAACCTGCATTTCTCTTTACATCAGCACTTTGCAGTGTTGTGACAGCTCAGGTTAAAGAGAGACAACTCCTGAAAGGAAAAAGGCAAATAAACTTGGAACTGTGTCAATACATGCACACTTGTGTAGGTAGGCACATCTACACACACAGGTGTAAACTCTCCTCCATCTATTCTCCATGGAAATAAGAGTCAGAAAATGGATATAAATGTTTTCCGGCATTCCACTGACTTGCTGCTTTGGTTTTATGAGAGGAAAAATGGTAATGAAAACAAAGACCATTGCCCATATCATCCAAAAAACTTTAAAAGACACACTCGTGTTTCACATCTACTAACTCCCCACCTCCTAAAAACAAACAAGCAAAAAATACCAGGTGGTCATTCCCTGCTTCCATCCCCCCCCCAAAGACATAAAAATGGTTTTAAAGCAAATCCACCATCCTAAAAATCTCATGTGTCCAGTTAGAGTCTCTCTTCCACCTGAAATAGCAACAATTAGAATTCTTCAAGAACATACTTGCCATCTACTTTCCTCCTGACGAATGCCAAGTAATCATAAAAGTTTCTAAGTGTGGGGAAGTAAAAGACATGAAAACTCATTTCTTTTCTTTTATATCTGAAAATCCTTAAATGGAAGCAGCATTAAATAGTGTAGCATTTAACTTCCCCCCCCAAGCAGTAACATTTGTGAGATTTAAGACTAAATAATGCACGTGTAAAGACCTCAGTGAGTCATAGAATATGCTTCAAACATCCTCACTCCTCAGTAGACCTACTAAAAGCTGTATCTAAACACAATGTCTCAATTTATTAGCCCACAGGAAAAAGATATTATGTCAGGACGTTATCTTTAAATGCTCCAAGCATTTTAAGTGCAGTGTTAATACATATAAAACAGTATGAAATAAGCAAACGCTTATGACCTCTAATTTATCAAACTAGATTCTGTATATGCCAGTAACTTATTAAGGCCATTCTAACCATCTCATATGCCTAAAGATGGTCTCCAGACACAAACATAACACTGCCTTCTGCTTTCACACACAAATACTGCATTTCTTTAAAAAACAACGTGAAAACCCCAAAACTGTGAGCACAGAAATAGCATATATACTGTGAATAAGACATTATCAGCTAGAGATATGATCAATACTTCGTACTGCTCCATTATGTTCAAGACGCTCCGTTACACAGCTCCAACCTTACAAGAGCCTCTTTAGCAGATGAGTCGCTGTGAGGC